CCCCCTGGCCATGCCCTGGAGGTTATCGGGAGGTGAGGAGGGTGGGCAGAGAAAGCAAGCAGCACTGAGGAGGATGACTGAGCACCTCTAACCACTCCCACATCCCCAGGCTCAAGGGCGCTTGCAGGGCAGGACCCCACTGTCTGTGCTGTGCCCCCGGGCACAGCCCATCCACATCCCCATCCCCGGGATGGCAGACAACAGGGCATTTGGGGTTGTGTAGCCGGAGCACCCATCCTGCTGCATCCAGGGGGATGCAGATTGGATTAAAACAAGGGCCCAGCTGGCACGGAGCACCCGGGGAATGGCCAGAGCCCCGCAGGGCAGCCCCTCACCCGCGGCATTGCTATGGGAAGCACCGCTGCCAGCAAATTGCTCTCCTGTCTCTCCCTCCAAACGGGAGCGGTGGCAGCGAGGCGGCAGCGAGTTGGCTTTCGCCAGCATTTCAGCAGCCCACGTGGGGTGGCTCCTGCCAGGGGAGAGAAGTAAAATTAAATATATATATATAAAAAAAAAAAAAAGGCAAAGAGAGAGGAGGAGATGACGGATGGGAGGGTTTGCAGCCGTGGCCGTTTGTCCTGGTGGAGGGAGCCCTGGATTCTGCAGGCACAAGGAACCTGCCGGTGCCCGTGGGCCATGGGCACGCATCCCCCAGCACGGCTCGGCACGGCACGGCACGGGGAGCAGCCGTCCCCGCGGTCCCCCCGCCGCCCCGCTGCCTTTGCCAGCCGACTAATTGCGCCAGTGACTTTGCAGTTCCCAAAATAGCTCCTGGCTCCGGCGGGTGACGTCAGCGGGAGCCGCGGCGGCAGGCCCGGCAGGAGCAGGGAAGGAGGACGCTGCCGGGCGTGGGGTGTGGTGAGCAGCTCCTGCACCCCACCACGGTCCCGCTGGGTGACCTTGGCACCGTGGGCCGTGATCCCAAGGGAGCGAGACTCGCAGTGCCGCAGGGATGCTGCGGGGAGTCCAAATCCTCATGCACCCCTTCGGAGGAGGTGGTCCAAGGATGTCCCTGCCCTGCATCCCTGCCACGTGGGTGCCCACATCCCCAGGACCTCTGGCCGCAGGGAGTGGGGCAGCCTGTTCAGAGGGGCAGATCTGCCCCTCGGTGCCCCCGTATGGTAAGAAATGCCCCCTCAGCCAGGGCAGCTGGATGCCTGCAGCTGCCCAGGGGTGCCAAGGGGTGAGCCAGGGCCACCCTCCCGATGCCCCTCCAGGGAAACTGAGGGATGCAGGAGGATGCAGAGGTAGCAGGGAGAGCAAGGGGGGCACAGTGAGCAGACAAACAGAGCAGAGCTCAAGGTCACCCAGGTGCTGCTGGACACAGCAGAGCCAGGGATGCTCCCCGGGCCAGGGCTGCCTCGGGCACTGACTCACCCTGCGCAGGACAGTGCTCAGCTCCTCCAGTTACAGGCACAGATGGGATTGCCTTAACAGGGCACAGTGGGTGACAGGGCTGGCCCAGTCCTGAGAGAGCACCCCTGGGACTGGGCACACACCCCCAGGCCCCTCCAGCCATCCCTGCAGTCTGCACCCTCTCCAAGCAAGGCATCCTCCATACCACTTCCCAGCCAGAAACACTGGCTTGTACTGGTCTCACACTGGTCCCAGAAGAGGATCCCCATCCCTCCCAGCACAGCCAGGCACAGCAACGTCTGCCCCAATTTCTGGGGACCAGAACTCCTGAGCCCCACACCAGCACTCAGCCAGAGGCTGGCTTATTATTCAAGAACACGGCAAAGTAATTAAAGCCTCCTCCATTTCCCCTTGCTCATTTGTGCTCCTTCAGCCTGGATTAATGGGTCTCCTCTCCCCAGCACAGACTCATTCCTTATTCCTAATAGTCCATAAATCCCAGCCCCAAAATAACCCCAGCTTTTGCCTGGGCCCGCTGAAATATTTATTCTCTCCTCCCTGCTACCCCCCACACCATCCCCTCTCCGGGGATGGGGAGAGGAGCTAATCAATGGGATCGACCGGTGAGGAGCTGCAGCTGCTCTGGGCACCGGGAAACAGCTGATGTCGGCAAGAGGATAAGAGCTGGACAGGAACCTCAGCTTATCCCGGCTCCCACGCAGCCGCTGCAGCCTGGCTGTGGTCCCAAGGCTGGATGCTCTCGCACCACCGGCAT